ATATAAAAATATTAAAGAGACGAAACTTTTGACGAAATTACAATTTTTCAAAAAAGAGTTTAGTCAGGTATCACTAGCTGTAGGCAAATTATTAAGCCGAGCACTCTCAAGCTCAGCACAAATATTTTCATAACCTGGTGGGCGAAAAAGATCACTGGAATTTTTTTGATAATAGAAGGATAGTATACACTTTTTACAATCACGAATTTGAAATATCATCTGGATAAATGCTTCGACATTAACCGGAGTTGTAATATTTGTAATGCCTATAACCGCTTCAAAGTAATTAGTTTTTTTGAAAGAAATATCTGCTTCTACTATACTTGTATAGGCTACGCAATCAAGCTCATCCCAAGTGGTATTTATATCTGAGAAGTCTTTTTTTCACTATTTTCCGTCCATATCTCCATAATAAGCACAGGCTCTGATGTGAGAATTATCAGACTTTGGCAATTTAGAGGCTTTTTCTACCAATGCTCGGGCCATACTACAACTTGTTAGAACAAATGCTACGTGCTTGCCTTGCTGTAATAACTTATATCCTATTCGCATAGCTTTAGCCCCGCTATTTGGATCATAAAGATACTCAACAGTTTTATCTATAAGAGGCTGAAATTTATTATCAATCACTCGAATATTTTCACCGTAATAAGCTTTAAGAAAGGTTAGAGTTGATGCATTCACAAAGGCATCTATTGCTAATACATGCTGGGCCGTTCTTAATATATCACGCATTGCGTTTTCAAATTTCTGTGCATTTGCACCATTACTCATTTGGCGGAGAATCACATTGGTTTTATCCAAAATAGCTACTAGTAGGCAGGCTGAGCATTTGATATGAGAAAGACTCTCAACTTGGACTATGATAATATTCTATTTATCTATAGATAAGTTTGGTTTGTCTTGATAATTACAGATTCTGAGTCTAGATGATTTAAGATCATTAATTTTGCCTTGCGATTCATTACTAAGAGTTTTTCGATAAGAAATCCAGATAATGTAAGGTAATTTGACTTTACTTTTAGCTAAGGAATTAATATGCTTTCTTAACCCTTTTGTTTTTCCCGTCATCATAGGA